AGTCAATTTACAGGGCGAGTGTAATGAGACCTACATACATTCAGAGCTGAACTAATCCAACTCTAATCCTGTCTATGTGAGACGAGCCTCTCATTTGGCTACTCTTACAAGTTTCCCCAAATTAAAACTAGTCTGTGATATCATCCAAGGTGGATCCGCACATTATTTGGCATCAAGTTCAAGGAACGAATGAACATTATGTACAACGAAAGAGATCAGCTACCATGCAGTACCATATATCTTGTGGTGAATCGTCGTCTGTGCCGATTCCAAAATCTTCCTACCTATGTCTTAATAGTAAAAGACATATATTGGGCGATTATCTTTAATTCGACTACCTTTTCTTCCCGAAAAAAATACTGAAGCCATATTTTAACTGATACTGCCACTAACACTACAGGGATTAGGGCATGATACTAGATCTTTGTACGATCTGAGAAAAATCTTTCCGTGTTTATACCCACAATTCTAACCCTAACCCGTCAGAATAGTTTTAGCCACAATCCACGACATGTAATTTATAAACCTAGCCCGAACCCTAACCCTAGAGAAAAATATTTCTCAGATTTAGTATTGTGCGGGATTAGGATGTTCAAGTCACAAAATCCTGTGTTGAAATATCATTGATGAAAAAAGGGAGTCAGATCAAATATAATCGTCACACAATGATAGGCCTTCCTTTCTTTTTATTTATCCCGGATAATTTCTTTTGAGTTGTATGTATTATTTATTAGCCAGAGGATGATTTTGAAGTTCCATATAGGTCTGACCGCATTGTCACGTACGTTTGATCTACAGTAATTATTAACCTACCTTTTATTTAGTTTGGGTAATGCCGAAAGAATGAAAACTAATCTATAGAAATCATTAAAAATAACTTAGAACAATATTTACATTTCAACACGTGCTGCAATTTCGACACTGTTGTCAGGGCGGTTGAGAAAAACTTCAAGGTGCTATATTCCACCCGTCAAAATACCAAAAAGGGGAGGAGCTATCAGGGTAGAAATACTAATGTATTTGTAGGCGGGAATTAAGGAGGATAACCACGCCTTGACATGATCAGTGAAGGTCGCTTTCTGCACGGATTTATTCTAAATACGGGTCCTTCTGAGCTATTACTAAAGCGTTAACACTAATTGCGCCGAAATAAAACGGATAATTTAAAAACAAAAAATACTTCTTTGTTTAAGCTAAGAATTTACTCCGTGAACAATGAGGCACCGCGTCTACTCTGACGAAAGCGGCTATGGATATACCGGCCCAAATTTTAAACCATAACGACTAAAAAAAAAGTCATTAACATAGTTATTTATACGCTAAAATACATAAATGTAGCATAATATAAATATTAAACATACATTATGCAACAGCTAAATCTGCCTATTGCCGGTCTTTCTTTAGGCCTTAAATGTTATATAAATTATTAATTAGACATGTATTAACATGGCAAGACTATAATCAACTCTCTATGGCATCGCTAGCCTGCGATGTTTATTGGATTAGGTTCCGGTTTGCTGTTTGACTTCCATTCATGATTTAATCATGAACTGGATAATCGAGACTATCGTACCGACTTTAGTACTGATGATCATCTGAACATAATCATCTGAACATGGTTTTAACAAATCATCCTATCCAATTAAAAGAGTCACACACAAAGAAATATTTTTAATGGACTGCAGAAAATAAATGATTTTAAACACCGAAGTTGTGATCTGTATCAAAGGACTTTAAGAACTGCACAAACTTTTTTATATGTAAATACTCCACGGGTCCAGCTATGTGTTTTTTACTGCGAGAACTTCGCTTTCCATATTAAAACAGTGGATTCTTTTTCCCCACGGTTTTTTTTTTTTTTTTTTTCAATCCGCATCGATGCATCAAACAGCTGGGCCCCGTTTTAACTTGTTTTCATTATGACAAAGTGAGAAGATGACCCACGCTCTTTTCTCACGGCAGCGATTTTAAAACTGTTTTAAAGTGACTTTTGATATACATGTACAAGATCATTTCTGTATACATGTACAAGGTCTTTTTTATTCTTAGTGTGTTTACCCATTTCTGTATATTACTCCTTCATATGTAAATAACTTAATTAAATCAACCTGTCCATAATATCATATAAAGCTCGGTTTATACTACATCCGTATCCATAAACGTATCCGTATCCGCACCCGCATCCGTATCCGCGTTTTGCCGTTCAAATAGAAAACGCGAAAACGTCCGGCTTTCAAGGCTGAATTGTCTGTCTGGGATAAGATATTGTCATTTGCAATCATGGAGCCTGACAGTGACACAGAGGAAGTCTTTCTTTTGTATTTGTGGACCCAAAGACGAAAGAGAAAAAGAGAGTAGGGGTCCATGAACAACTGTTACAAAGAAGGAAGAAATATGGAGAATACCACCACCTGGTGCAAGAATTGTATTTTCATCCGTACAAATTCAGACAAAATTTCCGAATGACAGAACAACAGTTTGTCTTGTCCATGTTGTGTTCTTCACAAGACTACACAAATCCACAGCACACAAGGCCAGTCTTTTCTTGGAATGGATTGAGTTTCTATTTGGGGAGATGATGTAATAAGGGGAAAGTACTCGCTGATTGGCTAAAGCTCGGCTCGCTAGCCGAAATGCCGGACGCACTTTACAAAAATACGCTCTGGGAGCAATCAATCCGGCTTAACGGACGCAGTTGTTTTTGTGCGCAATACGTGCCGGATTCTATTTGAACCCTTTCTCTAAAAATGACTAAAGTATACCAGTATTCACGTTCGTATTTACAAATACGGATATGGATGTAGTATGAACGGACCTTTATTGGACGTTTAATTTGTAATAAACAACAAACAACACGGTATCTGTAGGCGGGCCATGGGGCCCGACTGACAGTCAAATCTAATTTTACCGACCTTATCTAAGACCGCAGCAGTTATGGCAAAGCCGACGAGACTGTGCACGCTCGCCTTTCTTTCATTTCAATCACCCGGAGTTTCTCCTTTGGAAGATAGTCACCCTGGGCACTTCCCTGCAGAGACATTGTGTCTTAGACAAAAAAAAGCTAGATCAAGCCTATTTTTGTGGTTTCCCCTGTCAAGTTTCTTAGGAAACACTTGTCTATGATATCACCCCTTGGTGGAAGTGGACGTAAAACTCCAGGAAAGAACGAACGAACGAACATATCTATTGACTGCGATATCACTCCGGTGGATGCGGACTGCAAATAAAGTTATTCCACACAGTATCTATTCACCACTACCCCTGTACTTTAAACAAGATATGACAGCTTCAATTCCAACCAGTAATAAATGTGTCGTCTGCAGAAAAAACTGTCCGAAAGAATCAACATACTGTTGATTGTGATCTTTTACTTGTAAGAACTGGACGAAAAGATCTTGCAACACAGATATTACTAAAGAAGAATATTTAAAGGTCTTAAACTCGGAAACTGATTTTAGATCTACCTGCAATATTTGTCGTATCCAGTTGGTATTTTTTCGTTCAAAGCCACACTAGATACTATCGCATCAGAAACGTAAGAATTTCCAAATAATTATAAAGTTAAAGATACATTATGGGAGATTCGATAACGAGTTGGAAACTAGATAATGTAAAGGCAATTTGCTGAAAATTTCCGGCTAGCCTTGGTCATCATTACTAAAGTCAGTACGATAAACAGCATAGTCTCGATTATCCATTTAATCGTTAAATCGTAAAGGAAAGTTATACAGTAAATCGGCTCATAATCCACTAAAAATCACAGGCTAGCGATGCCATCTAGAGTTGATTATGATCTGCATAGGTTAATTAATGTTTAATTAATGATTTAGATAACATTTCAGGCCTAAAGAAAGACCTGTAATAGACAGATTTAGCTCTTGCATAATGTATGTTTATTAATATATACTTTACAAAAATACGAAAGTACGATAGTTTATATAGTTACAATTACCAAAGTAAATTTCATGGTTAATTTTCAAATTATATTCAATTTTTATTTAGTCTTCAGTTTAGTTACATTCAATTTTTAAATCATATTCAATTTTTATTTTAATTTTCAGTTTAGTTATATTCAATTTTCAAATTATATTCAATTTTTGTTTTAGTATTGAACTGAGGGTAAAGTGTATTGGCGCTGTAGAATTAGGAAAACAAAACATCCTTGTGGTGCAACAGTTATGCAGTGTACAGTGTACAGTGTGCCAAGGGATCTCTTCTACGTGCACACCAATGTATGCACGGAACCTCAGTTTTCATACCATCCGAACAGCTAGACGGCTGTCCTTGTCAGGCCCTCTGTCTTGCACCACTGACAAGGGGAAATCACGTCGAAAAATTCTGATGAACTTTCTCGGCCATTGTAGGGATCGAACACGTGACCTCCGGGTATAGCGAGCCACCTTCTTACCCTCTTAGTCACGCTATGGCTCAAAAGGAATGAAATCTGTAGAAAAATTGTTTTATGCGCGGTAATATTTGGGGTATCAATTGGATTCGGTGTTCCGTTTTTATTTTTATTTATTTATGTATTTTTTTATTTTTTAGGGGGAGGGGGGGGGGGGGTCATGATTATTTATTTGTCAATCGGTGTGTGATGGGGGGGGGGCGAAAGGTTGAAAATCACGTTGTCAAATGGTGTGATAAAAATATAAAAATAAGGCTACATGCAACATGAACATGTATATTGGACTACTTTCAACTCATAGCCCTGAATAGCAGGAAAACGAATTTACGTGGCCAATGTGGTCTGCCTCCAGTTGTTCAAATTATTTCCCTTGTTGTTTCCAGGGTGAAGGCTGACAGCTGTCAATCATTCTATTCTGGCGGCTAAAATCTTCGTCATATTGGCGAGAAACGGATAAAGCATTCTCCTTGGTATTCCCTCACCATCGAGGAGAGACTGGACAATAGAAATAAAAACTGGCAAAAAATAAACAAAACAACGTTTCTAATAACATTTGTATAAATTATTCTGCATAAAGCCACGTTATTAATCAAATTACTGTGGAATCTGTCATTTATACCAGTGAGGAGTGTATCACATAAATCTTTCTTGATGATGTGCTATGACTATTTTACGACATTGGTGAAAAGTTTATTTTTAACTCTTATTCCGGAAGAAGACATTGCATGACGTCATCACCAAGGAGTAGTTTGCCCGAGAATTCATGCCAATATTGTTACTATATTTTACTGAAAAACTGTTCAGATAGCTTAATTGATTCACATCAAGTGTGAACAAACAAAGGGCGAATCCGGCCGTCAGATAATAACTATAACACCGACTGAAGAAACGAGATGAATGGATTATCTTTCAGCGAGCTTTGTTGTCTGTTCTGTTGTCCGCCATGCCCAAATCGAATAGCAGCAAAATTAGCTTTTTTACCACCAGAACCAACTTATTCCCTGATATCAGATGATACTGGTTCTAAGCACAGTCTTCATTTAACGGACCGTGCCGAATGGCAGTACACACAGCGTGAATTGGACTGTATAGAAGTGTTCATGACACGAACTAATAAGGGAAATCGTATATCATGTATGTTTGCTAGGTGCTCACCAAATGCCAAATTTACCATTTTATTTAGCCATGGAAATGCTGTTGATCTTGGACAAATGAGTAGTTTTTACATTGGTTTAGGTACCCGTATAAACTGTAATATATTTAGTTATGATTATTCTGGTTATGGCTCGAGCTCAGGTAGACCCTCAGAAAAGAACCTCTACGCAGACATTGATGCAGCTTGGCAGGCTTTAAGGATGAGATATGGCATTAGTCCTCAGAATATTATTCTTTATGGACAGAGTATTGGTACAGTTCCTACAATTGACCTTGCAGCGAGGTATGAAGTAGGCGCTGTTATTCTTCATTCACCACTAATGTCTGGTATGAGGGTTGCCTTCCCTGACACTAAGAGAACCTGGTTTTTCGATGCCTTTCCAAGGTGGGTAAATTTTTCCATTTGGTGTTGATTACAGAATCTGTCCAACAATTTTTTTTTACACTAAACCTACCAAGAAGTAACCAAGATGATGCACTATATTTACCATGACCTGTTCTCTGAATTGTGGAAATACTCTAACATCAAGTCAATATTTTTCTGATGTATTGTTAGACAAATAATATTTAATTTTATTTTGTTCTGCTGAAATATCAAATGCATGTAACATGCTTTTATAAGTGTAGCAAAAGTTCGAGAAATGGTATTGTAATGGTTTCCCCTGTATGACTCCTCAAGCTGACATCGGAAAATATGTAGAATATTCTATTTACACATTACAAATATGCCAGACAAATTTCAGTTAATTGCAGAATTATTTGAATTTTTGCTCCTTGAGCAGCTCTTTAAAATAGCGTAAGTTGATACTGATTATATTTGGGTGTGTGAGGTGAACAAAAGATTTTGTTGCAGCTTTTGATAAAGTTTACTCATAAATCAATCTCCAAGAGTTTATTGATAAAATTTACCGAGTTAAGGCTTTTATTGTTTTTGGACATAATATTTTATATGTGAAAACTTAAAATGTATTGGAAATCGGTATAAATGTACAACTAAAAATTTTGTTCAGTTGTGCATACATATGTATTTCCAATAACTACTACATGTAGGCAAAATTTTAGACTACATGCTATAAATTATGATTAATATAGCCTCTCTCTACAACAGTTTATTTTGTTATGTATTCCAATAGTAAGATAATATTTACATAGTAAAGGTCATATTTAATCAAGAGATGTACTGCACACAATATGGTGGTTATTCTAAATGTAGAAATATTAATACATGTAAAATAAGCTCATTAACAAAATAAACTGAATAACTGATAGGCTACGCTGTACTAGGTTGTGATTTGTAGAGTGTGAGTCACTACATGTACATGTACTATCAATAAAATATTCATTGAGTCGTGAGTAAATACATAAAAATGGTTTATGAATGATTGACACTCATTATAGTAATACCTCATCATATATTGATGACTAACTGAGCTATGTGGATCATTATACAATCTAGTAATCTGTGTTACATTTTCTTAATCTGGCTCAATTTGTCTTCTATTAGTATTACTCGTAAATTTATCAGTATTTATTATCAACATTTAACCGTCAGTCACAAATAACAGTACTTTTTATAGTCCGACTCTGGGGATGATGTCATAAAGCTCCGAAATGAACAAGCCACCATCTCCATATATGTGTTGGGTAAAATCTTTTGATGGTTCCCTTTTTAACCCTAGAGAATATTTACCATTTTATATTTTGGTTTTGTATTCTTAAATACCAGTATTAAATTATCAGTTTTGAGTACATTTTAACGTGGGAGCTGCCATGGCTCTGTCCTGAGTAAAGTTGTTGGCTCCCTAACCGGTAGGTCCCACAATCGATCCAGGTGTGGATTTTTCGGCGTGGTTTGGGACAGAAGGCCTGGCAAGGAAGAACATATAGTCGTTCAGATGGGACAAAAATCTGACGTCCTATGTACACATTGGCGTGCACTACCAAGAACCTTATACATTGTAAGAGTAGGCCTTAACCCCATTGAGCAATTTATTTTTCCTGGCAACTTAAATATATTTTCCTGACATTGATATGACATTGACTGTCATGTAAATAATGCATGTATACAAGTATGGAATTAAGCCACCTGTCAATGACAATGTCAGAACAAATTTTGTCAAGACACAGTTTATCTGGTGCCTGTCATTTATCTGGCACTGATTTGTCCCTTTTCTGGGGTTTTATTGATATCTATAATACATTGAGAGGTGCTCCATACAACTTTGATGGTGCCTTTATAATGTGAACATGTATATTTTGTAACTTTTTACAGTGCATAACCGTAATTTGAAAGTCATTTATATTTATTTATCTTTATTCTCTTCCAGCATTGATAAAGTTCCCAAAATTACATCCCCGGTATTGGTTATTCATGGTACTGAAGATGAAGTCATTGACTTTCAGCATGGCTTGGCTATTTATGAAAAATGTCCCCGTAAAGTAGACCCTCTGTGGGTCGAAGGTGCTGGACATAATGATGTGGAACTATATGGACAATATCTTGACCGTTTGAAACAGTTCATTAATGAGGAATTAGCCACCATTTGACTAGAAGCCGAAGCTGAGACCCAAATCACACAGTCACCCCCTCATCCTGAAACACAAAATGGTGAACGTGTCGTCTAGACATAAGAAACAATACATCCATTATTATCTCATTCAACTTGCATATATATTTGAGTTTGTTTCCTTTACAACTCATCATCTTCTCACCAGTAAATAATTTCCACATTTTATCAATAACAGCATGGTCTGCAGCATAACAAATTGCGATCTGAAGGACATCTAATTTCAACAAATGTGATTGTTCCAGTGAAAATGTTAACGCATATCTCAGACACATCATTTGATAATGTGACGTAATAAGATTATACAAAATTCTAGATCTGAATGGAAATATGGGTGGACAGCAGGATAGTTCTTTGCAAAAGAGGTTTTTATAGCCTGCATGGAGTTTATTATCTCTTCTTGTCTTGAGTCTGCTTTCAATGCCATCTAAAACAACTTTGGTTTCCAGGTTTTTTTTCTACACAGCTTCAATAAATCCTGTTTTGGATGCTCCACTAAAGCAGAGTTTTAATGTTTTGGTTTTAAATTGAATGAAATGGATTGATTAACTGTGTTATATAAAGGGTGTCTCAGCTTCATTAGTCCTAAATTGTACTTACAATGAATAGTACAAAACAAAAAAAAATATTTTTCCATGATATGAAAATATTTGTTTGTTTATTGATGTATATGTATGTATATTTTTTAGGGTTTTTTTACTGGAAAAAAAAAGTGTGAAAACATTTCAACATGTACAGTACTTTTAGGCCCAGCTATCATATATTTGTATTGTACATTATCTTTGTTGATGTCATAACTGTTGCATACATGTACATTTGACAAAAATACATGTATGGAAAATATCGTGATCAAAGACCAAGCTCATTGGTATCAATACATCAAAGGTGTTGTCCATCATATCATTGTATTTATCTATACATTTTTAGTTTATTTAATTATTTTTACATGTACATTTGGCAAAAATATCAAGGAAAAACGATTAAAGAAGCAAGGCTAAATAAGCAAGATATTTATGAAGGTTAATGTTCGGTTCAGTTGTAAAAATAGATGTTTCAGGATACATCATGTCAGGTACTTATTTTTCCATACAAGGCAGACATTACAATAAACTTACATGTACATTTATATGAATACTATGATATATGGTACATGTAGGTTTTACATGATGTGCACATTTTAATGTTAAGTGCCAAATGATAAATGCACATCATACAATTACCAACTCTCAAATGATAAACAAAAAGTATATTTCATTCCTATAATGCATTAATAGTAAAGGTTGTTAGGATATAATTTAAAGTGCCATACATTTTCCAGTTCATACAATTTTAGTTGTAGTCTTGTACTACATGTACTTTGAAAATTGGTTTCAGGGCCCTTCCATGCACTCATTTATAAGAAATATTTTTTCTCGACAGAGAAACTGTCAAAACTATCTTATCTTGACCACAAATTTTTATACCTCATAATATTTGTTTTGTCATGATCTGATTTATATTTTACCATTTTCATCTAAGGTGATTGTCAAACTTGGCAAGTAAAACTTATCTCAATAGTAATACCTTTATTTCAGTGAAAGCTTTCATATTGTCCTTGTTGTATTTATGGTAAACATACAGTGTACCAATCATATACAAACGTAAATGAAGAATAGAACCAGGGGCATATAATGTATTGAATCTTTATGTTGAATAAACCTGAAGTCATATGTCCCAAAAAGAAATATCATGACTTTTAAAAAAACTTGCCTGTTTATTTTGTCATATTGTGGAAGTTAATATTCACTGGTACATTTTAAAGCTTCTGTTCCTATACTATTTTTCATTTCATTTGTATTGCTCAGTATATCCATTTGTATCATTAATATAATTTATGATTTTTGTGCTATACATGTATTAATCATTTTTATTATATGGAATTGTTATTTAAAAATATTTCTGTTGACTCATTGCCATGTTGTATTATAAAATCAGTGATCAAATATACAGGTTGGTACTCAAACAACCTCAATATCAACGACAAAAGTAATTAAATAAGGTTTCAAACTTTTTCTCATCAAAATTTTTTTACTGTGTGCTTAAAGGGAAATTATTAAATAAAGAATGACAGTTCTCAGCTTCTCAATATAATAACTAAAAAATAAATAATGAAAAGGGAATATGTTGAAAATTTGAGTCAAATTACGGAGTTCTGGCTCTTAAGAAGAACAGTGTAGTCTTGATTGTCATTGCTACCGTTGTTAAGATAAAAAAAAAGAAGTCTCAATTATCAATTTTTAAATTAAATCATTAACTGTCAATCGTATTTGAATCTGTTGAAAATCTCGAGTATCGTATGGCATCGCGAGTTGATTATGGTCTTAGTAAGTTAATCAATTTCTAATTAATAATTTATATAATAATTAAGACATAAGGAAAGACCTGCAACCAGAAGATTTAGCTCTTGAATAATGCCTCTTTAATAAGAATCATTGGTTATAAAGTTGTTCAAGTCCTAGAACTCCCACCAAATTGCTCTGAATCTTAAGGGAGGTAACTCCTGTAATAGTTTTGCTACACTGTTTTATACACTTTATATAGAAAGGTGCTATGTAAAACTATGGCAAATAAAATGTTAAAAGTTATTAATAGATTTATTTACAAGTAGGTGGATCAATATAAACTGGTCCTGGCTAAATTTTAACATTTTACTGGTTTGATGCTTGCTCATACTAATTTAGTTGAGCATGTTCAGTAAATATATGTTTGCTTATTGCTACGATTTGAAATTTTTCTTAAATTATTTGACAGCAAATTAAAAGCTTATATTACAGTTACTGCCAACCCGATCTTGCTACCCTATTTATCTCTAAGTGAATGGAGTAAATTTGAATCATTAAAGGATAAAACTGTTTATTATCTAGTATTAGAATAGTACCAACTGTACACAACTCTGTAATGCAAATTATTTTGATTTTTGACAAATTAACACACCTTATGTGAAATCATGTGAGGAGCTGTATGTCACTGTAACCAAACAACAGTTTTGCAACACTTTAAAAGCAAGAAATCCATAACTTAAAATCGCTCACAGTAAAAAAAATCAGTCTAGGTTCATCGAATCCTTTATTATATTCTGCATTATAATTTGGTGTACTGACACTGAATATAACAGTCTTCACTTAATGAGTATTTTGATTTTCAATGAACATATATACTGAGTATTTTGATTTTCAATGAACATATATACTTTTTCAATATCTTAGATTTGCACAAAATTGGAGAAGTCCAGTTTTACATGTATGGTACTGTTGTTTTCTTATGTAATTTATAAGTTTTAAATTAACATCTATCTAATGTTTAATGTACATATATATTGAATTTGTATTTAAGAAATAAAAACATCTATCACAGACATATGTTGTAAATAGATATTTGTTAAATGAATTATTAGGTGTTGTTGGTTTCTATTTTTTAAAACAAATATATTTGGCGTAAGAAAATGTAATGTATCTATATCATTATCAATGAATTAAAGAAGAATTAAATATCATTGTCATCATAGTAATTATTTGCAGAGTTACTGGCCTTAGTAGTATATATCGGGGATGCTCGATTTTCAGTCCAGAATGTCCTGAATTGACAAAATTGCAATCGAGTGACGCGGAATTCAGTCCTGTCACAGTTCTGTCAGTCCAGAAAACGGAACAGGTATCAGTAGAATCGTGACATAATTAAACACAACGAATATGTTTCAGTTGTTTGAGATATTTCCTTGTGCTGTCGGTACATGCGTTCTAGCCCCAAATCCCCATTTTCACTCGATTGTCACTATTTTGGGTTTGATAGAATTAAATTTCAGAACGTACAATTGAGCATCGCCATTGTCTTTGATTCCATGTTAAATCTTGACTTAAGATAATTCATACCAATCTTAAATTTGATAAACTGCCTTTCGCAATACTGGTCTTGGATAATGCTTGTTTGATTGAAACCCTCTTCATAGATAGTGATATACCTACATCTAGGACTATTTTCTTTAGCAAAATATTACTCCAATATCATATATATATATATATACACACACCGGTATATTTGAATAAAAACTGGTATACAATATTGTACACTATCAAAAGTAATTTACCACCAACTTTAAATTTATAATAAAAAAAAATAATACATGTATTTTGTTTGTTTGACAATATTAAACCCTCCTGTTTCTTTTTCTTGGCAGTATCTATCAACATTTAATAAAATATTCTTGTAAATTATCGTCTTGTCTTTTTAGCCCATGAACAAATACACTGAAAGGTTTATATTGGTTTTTCTGTCTATTATCTGTCTTGTTCATATTTCATGTAAACACTCTAGACTACAGGTCAGGGTTTTCAGGGTTTTATTTTCAAACTTGCTGTATTTTGGGTTGTTCTTTAATTGTCGATGGAGTCACTGACCTAGCAAAATTTTGGGTTGTAAGATTAGTATTTGCAGAGTTATTTTCCCTGAGACAGAAACCTTGTAAACGCTCTACATTAACAAGTTTTTGAGATTTTTTTCCAAACCTGTTGGGATTGTTCATCTAGCCATGGACCTTAGGTCCATGATCTAGCCCACGGGTATTCATCAATAATTGTGCCCCGGTTGAATCCCATGCAAGGGATTGTCATTTTTGGAAAATAGGTCAGTGATAAGACCCCTGTGGATCAGCCTTTAAACATTGTGTCTTAAAGGTTCAGTATTCATTTTGGGAAATGGAAATCTGGTTAACTGAATGCTGTTTTAGCAAACTACCTATAATTGACGAGGTGTCCTCAATGCCTCTCCAGGAGACTCAGTGATTCTGTGAGACGCTGGATCACTAATCAGGTCTCCGGTTCCCACTCCTGGTATTGGTGGAGAAAGCACCATTGTCTGGGTAAAATTTCCCTCAAAGCACATATCAATACCGGTAAGGCCTTAGACAAGACACACGCTAAATTAAATGATGTTACAGATGTTGGCCATTATTGTATATAGTTACTGTGGGTTTACACGGTGTTGATAATTTATCAGCATTGATGTAATTGATGTAACATATCAGATTAGAGACCAAGCAACGTGGAATTATGTAACACTATTTTAGTGATAACAGAGGTCAGTTTCGTAAATATATGGTTTATTTACATAGGAACAGAATATAACATTACTACATCAACACTACAGAAACTAGACTATACTGGAACTATAATTACTACAACAGGAACACATCTAACAATATTAAGTCCACCATTAAGCCTCTCTGCCAAGGCAGCGGCTGAACTCGGTGAGTCCATACGCCGGTCTCTGCGTCTCTTCTGCTCAGTCTCGGTTCGTCTCTTGTTGACTTCAGTTATATACCTTCTGATCATAGATAAGCTCATGTCATACATGCGATTGTCTTTTTTACCTCGTCATGGCATGCTTACTGACCAGTATGTATATCCTTTGAAGTAATGCAGAGCTTGTACACAGAGCATGTGTAGCTTAATTGTAAAGGACATATTGCATATTGAAATAATTACATGTTTAATCACAACACAGACAATCCTGACTTAAGAACAGTGCATACAGAGTTAAAAGGTCAATATTATATATTATCAAGAAGCATGGCTGGAGGTCACTAAGTTCTAAGCACCTAAATGACCGTTCAATTTCAGAAAAGTTAAAGAGAGTACTTTGTTACAATTATTCATCCAATTATTATTTTGTGATAATTTGTAATCATTATTCGACATGATATCACGGTTCAAGAGTGAAAGAAAAACTAGGCAGTGCTTAACGGTTCAAATATGAAGGAAAAACAAGATTGTACATATGGGCTTTAATTCACCGGGTGCTGTCAAAATCTAGTAATATACCGGTAGTCAAATTATTAATGACTTTTCTGTGCTAAACCTTGCCTAACATTTCATCAACCCCTGAAAATATGTTGCCTGAACTAAAATAAAATAAAATAGAAAGACATTAGATTGGCATAAATGATTTTACAATCAAGTTGGAGTATTGTGTACAATGATTGGGTGTTATTGAACTTGGTCGTTGAGACGTGATTTTTTCTGGGGATGTTGCCAATCACTGACTATAATAAGTATACGGCCCGCGTCCAATTTTCACATCCACCTAAAGAGTAAAGGCGTACTTCCGGTAAAATGGCGTCGAAATTGAAACCGGCTAGACTGGAGTCTGAAATAGAACGTTGTAGAACTGATTCTAATTGGAAAAGAGCATGTGAACTGGCGCAACAACTTGTTCAGAAGTCACCAGACATGGTCCCTCTTGTAAATTTCATATTGGCAGAGAGAGAATTAGAGGAATTTTTAAATGAACACCCCCCGTCCGAACGGACGATTGCGAAAGCTAAAAATGAACTCAATGTCACAGAGCAAAGACTTTATGACCTCACAAAAAATAAGGCCCTTGTTAAATTTTGCTTTGAATCACAACTTTTGTTAGCGAAGCTTCAGTTTTGTAAAGGTGCTTATCAAAATTCCATGACAACCTTAGAAAAATCAGACTTTGAAAGTAAAAGTATTGATCGGTCGTCAAACAGACAACTGTTGCTCTTAGCTGAAGCCCATGCCATTAAAGGAATGTGCTTAGAAAAAACAGCGTTACAGTCTACAAGCAAGTTTCGAGTAACAGAAAGAGAGCAGCAGATAATAGAGTGTTTAGAACAAGCTGGAGACCTAGCTTTACTGTATTTACAAGAACGGGAAAAACATCAAGCAAATACTGGAATGTTTGTTGTTCCAGCTCACCCAACAAGTGACTCTGTAGGGTTGATCATTGAATATGCAATACAACAAACACCAATACTGCACATAAAGAATGGTGATATACAAAAGGGTATAGGACGTTTTAGAGAGTTGTTGAGAGCAGTTGAAACAAGGTGTACTCAGAATTTACGCTTAACGTTGGCAAGGCAGCTGGCTGAAGTTTTAATGAGAGGTGTTTGTACGAACACTTACATACCTGTCTGTGTAAATCCTTTATCTCCAAGTAATGACAAAAAGCCACACCAGTATGTGGGAAAAGATTTGTTTGTTCCCACAGATGAAAATGAAGAAACCTTACTTTTACTCTTGATAGCAGAAGCAGTAGCGACACGTGAAGCAGTGCTTGACAGGACTCAGGAACTGAATGAAACAAGACTGCATGCATTTCAAAATACTACATCTGTCTATGATTTACTGGCTATTGCACTAGTGAAACGTGCTCAATTTAGTTCCTTGGCAGAATCATTTGAAAGGGCAATGAGATTTTCTTTTGAAGAATTTCATATTTGGCATCAGATGGCAAATTCTTTAATATGTGCTGGTAAATATGCAGCATCACTTTTGGTTTTACGTGAGTGTTGGAGATTGCAGCCTGAAAATGCTGTTGTATGCTTACAGGCTGCGAGATTATGTTATGAATATCTTCATCAATACAATGAAGGTATTGAATGGTCAAAAAGGGTGTGTGAACTTAGTGACAATAATCCACTATTAGCTAGAGCTCATATAGCATATGGTATTGGAAAAAGTATGGCAGCAATTGAAACAAAACTTCAAAAGGAAAGGCAAAGTCTAAATATGGAAGCTTTAACTGCTTTCAAAAAAGCACATGCATTAGACCCGTTTGACTTTCTGGCTTTGTTTCACATGTCTTTACAGCTGGCCATAATGCGACATATTCCAGAGGCAAACCATTATGTAAGGACTGCATTGAAATATCGCAATGACCATATCCATTCTTTACATCTTCTAACTTTGTTATTAACATCACAGAAGCAATATGGTGAAGCGCTCGATTTGATCCATGCTGCTCTTGCTGAATATCCTGATAATCTTAGTCTGCTATTAACCAAGTCTAAACTAGAAGAGGTTACTAGTGGTCCAGAAGAAGCTCTAAATACATGCAAATTAATGATGAAGTTGTGGAAAGATATCCATGAAATTGACAGTGATGATAGTTCTGATGGAAAAGGAGCCACAATGGATAGAAATACTTTTGATAAAAGAAGTCTAGCTCAACTCACTATAAATGAATTCAGTGAAAGGGGATCTGGCTCAATTAGGGCAGAATCTGTTGCTGCTTCAAGAATGGAGAGAGCATTGTCTGAAGTGGCATCATCACTCAACAGTGGTCTACAAGCTCGTCCAGGTTCTCAACAATCGTGGATGTTGCAGGCACAAATTTGGCTTCACCTAGCTGAACTTTATCTGAGTCAGGATAAAACATCTGAAGCAGAAAACTGTGTAAATGAGACATCAAATATGTTTCCATTATCTCACCAAGTTTATTTTATGAAGGGACGAGTTTTGGAACATAAACAGAAATATCTTGATGCTAAAGTGTGCTTTGAAAATGCTGTAGCTATTAACCCTGGGCACACGAAGAGTTTGCAACATTTAGGAATGGTTTTGCATCATTTAAATGAAAATAAATTAGCAGAGAAGGCTCTTAAGGAAGCTGTTGCTGTTGACCCCATGTCTCACCAGGCATGGTTTTCATTGGGTTTAGTCTTAGAGGCATTAGGACATTCTGAAACGGCTGCAGATTGTCATGCTACTGGAGTTGATTTAGAATTCTCAAGTCCAATTGTATCGTTTACTGTTATACCAAGGTTAATGCAATGATTTATGTACTGGAAATATACCGGTTATAACAAATATTTGCATAATTCATAGCTGTGATATTTTCATATCTTCCATATTCTATTTGATGTTGTTCAATGCATAATGTTTTGCATTTTGTTTTTCACAAGCTTTATATAAACGAACTATTTATGTTTATTAGTTAAAATTATATAAATATAATTAATCCATGTAAACTATAGATAAATATTCAAACTTTTCCCCTGTATATATGATACTTGTATCGTGACAAGTTTTATAAATAGAAAAGATGTTATTGTACATTGTATGTGTATGCATGTATTTGGTTCATTTTGTAAGCAAATTCTGTTGTGAAATCTATTTTCTCCTTAATTTAAATGTATAATATTTGGAAAATAATTTCTTGATTAATGTATATCCAAAGGTTGGCCATTTTTTTTAACAAAATATTAATTTACATTGTTGCACTATTATACCAATTCAAAATGCATTCTGTTGTGAAACTATTTCCTCCTTAATTTAAATGTAAGTGTATAATATTTGGAAAATAATTTCTTGATTAATGTATATCCAAAGGGTGGCCATTTTTTTTTAATAATATATTAATTTAAATTGTTGCACTATACCAATTCAAGATGCATTATGTAAGTAAGAAGGGCTGCCTATTGCGTGTCTTTATTTTGGTTTCAAAATGTTATATAAATTATTAATTAGACATTTATTAACATAAGTAGCCTATAATCAACTCTCTAAACCAAGGGGTGGCAGAGATTTAAATGTATTAGGATGCAGCGATATTTAAAAGTTTAACAATAAAGTGGACAAACGAAACCAAGTCTTGAATGTCCTGTATCATTGCTATGATAATAAAGAATCTGCGCTACATCTGCCAACACCCATAACTTCGCTCAGAATAAAGTAATTTGAATGAAATTTTCAATTCATTTTTTACTATCTATTTTTAAACTATTATAGCAAGAATGACCAGCTCTACATCTAAATCTTATATAATGCATCTTTAAGTAAATGTAATCAGATTTTTTTAATTCAATTTGCATTATGCATAAGTATCTATCAGAAAATCATGAATTTATCAATTTTGTAAATTACTTAAATCATAATACTAATAAGTGTTTAACTTGCACGTAGACAGCTAAAATTTAAAATTTAGAGTAACCCTACAGTAAAGGCTTAAATGATATGTTAGATAATATACTGTACTACTTGTTTACCTTGTAGAGTTTATATGCCCACATTTTAATATGGTCATATATTGTCTTCACCCATGTCGGTCTGTCATTCACAGTTCTTTTAGCACAATAGAGGCTACAATAATCCAGAAATCTGTTCAAATTGGTATGGGTTGTCTATGAAGAAGTCAATTGATTTTCATCCTTTTGGGATAACCCCCTCCAGAGGAACATGTATGTCCCTTGGTTAGAACTTAAAAGGCAGCAATTATTAACCTATCTGCAATTTATATTGGTTACCAATGTTATTATCCAAAGGAAGAACACAATTGATCAACTAACAGTTTGATAGCTTTGAGGGGTATGTCCCTTTTTTTTAAAAAAGAAATTTTGTGAAACACTTAATTTTTAGTCGGATTATTATTACTAGGGTCCACGTAATGTCAGTGTGCAACACCATTATTATTGTTCAGATTAGGCTTATAATTCTTTTTAACGGGTATTTAATTTTTTTTCAACCGCTTGTTGGATCATTCTGAACTCTTCCGTTTTGGTGAGGGTTGGTGTCATGTGGACATTATATTATTATTTGTAAAGTTCTGCAGCAATGCAAAATGTCTGAAATCACAGAATGTTTCAATGTTTAAAATGAATCATTCGATTTGAACAATTAATACATTTTTGCATAGTCATGGTCCCCAACTTCAATATTTTTGATTATGGACAAACATTAGCATGCACATGTACAAAAGTATATGAGGTGTTAACATTTGAATTGTTACAGATTTTTTTTTTTTTATTATTTATGAATGTTTTTTTGGTGGCATTTTACAAAGGTGGTCTGAATTGATAAAAAATATGACCAATTGATTCCTAGGTGCTTCTCTTTGAACTTTCATTGTTTAAAGGTGAAAATGGCACAGATAAAACCTGTCATAGCTGCCACACAGTTCTAGTTGAAATGGATATGTCTCCTCTGCTGCCCAATCTAAATTCATTTTATATACTAAGGGCATGATAAAGCTAATGGTGGGCATATGCTTGGCAAATAGTTCTGGTTATTGATTTAATATGTGAGTTTACTGAGGTCAAGATTCAGCTATATATTGTAGCATGATATTTATTAATTATATTTATATTTATTTAATGAATGTTTGACACTAATGGTTATATCCATATAGCTTTTTCCATTTATCTACCAAGATTTTTCATCAGCAACAGAATAAAACAGCAGAATGATAATCTCCTTAGCCTATTTTAATCTTCAGAAGAGGTGTTGATATATTACCCTTTGTGGTGTGTAAATTCTGGGTATTGCAAAAGATCAGCAGTGCATTTAATTCAATCACGATCCTAACTACATAATAGCCATTGATTGGAAAACATATCCAAACTATCAGAAACAAACTGAGCAAGCAGTGCTCCCCTGCCTATATTTTATCAGTGATTTTGTCTTCCGCAAGGAGGATAGATTACAATGAATGCAACATACACCCATATTTACTAATTAAATTGGCCAAAAATCCTCTAAGAGATTTTCCAACTTTGCTTCCGTTGTCAGAGATCCCTGGTAAGGAACTGTGTCTAGTCCCTCATTTCCTGTGAACATATTGGGACACACGTAAATAAACCCTTGACAACTGGAAATTGAAATAAAAAATACAGGTAGCCTGTAGTCCTAGCAAATGTCACTCATAGCACACTGCCTTATGTATGCCCATCTTCATTAGCCTGGTTGGTGCTGTTGGACATAAACCCTATTTTATTTCATTTCAATTATCAGAATGTAATCAAATCAGTGAAGTGAATAATACCGACTTCCATTTATATTATCATCCGTATAATTTTATAAAATTAAATTTTCTGGATGAATAGAGAGAGGTTTGGGGTTGGGTTTTTTTTCATATGAAATGAAATGAAATGGGGTTTAACGTCCTACTGTTCTGCTCCGAACTGGGCTAATGAAGACAGGCTTACGCCATACAGTGTGCTATGAGGGAAATTTTGCCCGGACAGCAGCACTACGGCCTCATCTTATAATATCGAATTCCAACTGTCAAGGGATCTTTTACGTGCACGCCAATGTGTACACAGGACCTCCGAACGACTAGACAGCTGTCCTTGTCATGCCCTCCGTCCTGCATCACTGACAAGGTGGAAACATACCGGAAAATCTGGATGAACTTTCTCGGCCAGTGTAAGGATTGAACACCCGAGCTCCAGGCTAGCGAGCTAGCGTCTTACCCACTTAGCCACGAGATCCCTTTTTCATATGAATATTGATCGATAGTGGAGAATAATAAGCTGTATAGATACTGATACCTCCATCTGGAATAAAGTATTGATTTTCAATATTTCAATTGATTCTTAATTGGAGCTTTGTAGTTGGTACAAGTATATTACAACCAAACAGAATAAACATACATGCATACAGTACATACCAGTTTAAAGGGCCAATCTCGGTTATATTTTGGAGAATAAAACTGCTTAATTTTGTGTTAGAAGCCCTCAAAATCCTCTACCTTAGGGCCAGGCAACTAACTCTATATATACGTGAAATGTTTTCGAACAACTTAAATCCATCAGTCTTCATCTGGAAATGTAGACCGGGGTCTCAAGCTGTATTATACCATGTCTGGATAAAACCAGACTTTTATTCTATGAAAATAATGTGTAGGTGAAATTAACCTTTCATCATCAAGGACAGTACATGGGTCATGCACTGTATAGACATCTAAAGGAACGGGAATAAATTATCGGATCACCCAATGAAAAAATTTACCCGAATTCTTAAAATGGTTACGTGTCCAGATAAGCAGTTTTCACGTTCACGTCCAATCGACCCAATATTTGGAGCTGAAATTTTTAGACACGGTAAATTCACCATTCCTCTTTATTTTGGGGTTTAACTTTAATTTTCATACCTACACAGACTTTTATTTCTGAGACTCTGTTAAAATCGGGATGGTCCCTTTAAATAATGATAACTGCACAAAAAGTAAGTTTTGACACTTAAACAAGTCATCTACATGAGAGTATCTGATTCAAGTAGCAAATTTTTGCAGTTTGCAGGTCACCAAAACATTGTAAAGGCTCTATGGTCAGAGGTTATGAAACTTTGCTCTACAGGTCAGGAATTAATAGTAAATACAAGACAAGCAGCACCACACAGAAACCCACGAACAATTAAGACATGACTCGAGAGACATTGTAAGAATTATATAATAAATGTACTATCAAATCAATTGAGATTGGAGGATCACAATTGCAGTTTGCAGTCCCAAGCCTGTTTCACTTAACATGAAAAGAAGGGAGGCAAATGTCACTAAAACTGCTAAGAATATAATCAAATTGTGCCATCATGACGAAAGGGTTAATTTGGAACCCTTTTATTATAATTTAGTCCTAGTCAAATGAGGCACATCATGATATACCTTGCTGTAGTGGTTGCATGTCTCTAAACATGAAATTTTAATGATTTTTAAAATCTCTTTTGTGATTTATCCCCTCTACTATGTATCATCAGCTACAACAGTTATAATTTGCAAATGGACAGGAGAAAAATATATTATTTAACTGTGAAGACAGATCCAAAATTCAGAGCATTCCATCATTTTTAAGTGTCATTAAGTGGACCCTAACCCCCAAAACTTAGATGGTGGTGGGCTGATATTTGTTGCCTGGTAAAACTGTTCAATTATAAGCAATTGAAAAACTATAATAATATATATTTACATTTATTTTACTCCTTGTAAATTTGGATGAGAACAACATGAATACACAAGATATTCAAATACTTTCTAACTATTAAAGTATTACAATGTGTGATTTGCATTTTTCGAAAAACATTAAATTTCTCGTGGCTTCATGCACACTAATATTCACTTAGATTCATTATGTAACAATTCGTTAAGAAATCAAAATATGATTGCTAGATAATCTACTGACATGGATTCAAATGGATTTATAACAGTCCCATCAGATGACGTACATTAGAGGGATTGAATTTTCAATTAGCTATACTGAAAAGAGGACTGTAATCCTATTAGTGATTAAACTTTCACAGTCTTGTAGTTTGTAAGTGATTCTATAAAAGTAAAATTTCGCATTGAGCCTTTAATAAAAGAGAGCTTACAATTATTCTTCTTTTGAAAAGTCTAATGAGGTATGAACTTGTGCTGATGATACCATCTACCGGTAGGTTACTTCTTTTTTTTTTTAAATTGATTTACGGCTTAGTAATTTGTCAGCGTCGGTATCGTTCAGTACTTCTACCACTTCCTCTGTGTCTGCTATTGTTATCAGGAGTCCAGTTTCTATCCAAATTTCTATTAGCATTACCTGTTCTTCTGAAGTCTGATCCAAAACCAAAATCAACTTTTTTACCTTGATTATATTTTTCTCTATTATTAAAATTAAAACGGGAATCATTTTGTTCCATTGTATAAGGTTTACGAAAAGGTCTGTCTTTACACCCGAATCTCAATTGCCCTGATTCCTTTTTACCCCCAAATCCACCCCCTAACCTACGTGGAACCCATCCTTTTAATACTCTTTCACATTCCATGTCAACGAATACCTCATGCTCATCAATAACCAGATTAGATGAGCAGCGTAATGCTGAATTTGCCGCATCTTCATCATCAAATTCTAAAAAAGCGTAACACTTTGAGAATCCAGTCACTATATCTCTAACTAAACGACACTGTCTGATTGGTCCATATCTTTTAAATGTTTTCATAATGGTGTCTTCATCTGTTTGTGGATTTAGTCTGGCTATAAATAAAGTACATAGTGGATCACCAATAACTTTTTTATTTGGTTTGTATTTAGCATTCAATGCCCTTGTTATACCATTATCATGAACATCTGCATCGGTACCATCTATACTACCTATTTGAAGAGGATTATATTCCACTGCATATGGAGACCATTCGTCTTTGGAGCGATTCATGATGCTGTTTAAATTATCTAAAATGACAATAAAAGTTAATATTAAACAAAGGAGTGTAATTTTAACTGTAAAATTAAACTTGTCCAGCCCTAAAAATCTTCTGCAAATTTCATTTCATTATCCAGGTTTTAAATTGTTTAGTAATTGAACTAGAAATACACAAGTCACAATTTTATGAAATACAATTACTGTTTATTACTGAGATACAATTCGAAAAAGCTTCTCTAGTCTTCAAGCAATGATCAAATATGGAAGTTAAACTCATCAATCAAATATGAAAAAAAGGGAGTAAATATATTTACAAACTATATAACAACCTTTCTTTCTGGTGTAGTGGGATGTCTCTTAACTAAGGGTTGCTTTTGCATGTAAATACCTTCGCATCACCTTTTGCTTTTATCATTGCTTGATAAAGAAGAGAGCCGTCTACTGTAGTCAAAATGTCGCTCAGTTATTATAAACATAGAATTGGGACTTGTGTATATAGTGTGATATTTTTATGTCCTTTCCTTTAAGACCCCATATCTATGCAATAAACAGAATGTTTGTGCTGTTTTAAATAGAACTTAAACATATTACACGATCCAATCTAGCTACAAAAACGTCACCAAAACGTTGAGAGATGTCTGCTGATGTGTTTGTTATAGCTACAATTTTGCTGCCCTTTAGTTTAACCTTTCACAAACTCATTTTGTTTATTAATGCCTGTAACATCTTAACCATAAAACAATGTTACACTACTTTGACGAATAAAACATACCCAGCCCAAACTTTTGTATAAATATAAATAATATTCGGTTAAATTAATCATTGACTTTGCGATGATACGCATGCATAAACCATCGTCAGTTTTGAACTTGGAATAGAAATATCTGCCTTGCAACAGCCTGACAGCTTTGATTTAAAAGAGATGATCTGCGCCTGTGTCTGAGGTACCGTATGTTTAATTGTAGTTGGATGTGGGGTAAATTGAATAAATAACAATAATCATTGTTGTAAATAAAAATATGACAAGTTTTTGATCAGGCAATGCTGCTGTGATAGTAATAGTATCATCCCTTTCTAATGTGTAACTATGACTAGTATAAGGTTCGAAAGATGGGGCACATACATTTAATTATCATTATTAAAATTCTCCCGTCTAGCTAAGTAGCTTCATTAACTATATATAATAATAATAATAATAATGCTTTATTACACAGCTGCATGGTATATACACGAGTATGGTAAAGCATACACAAAGTACAATACAATAATAAACATCAAGAACATAGAATAACTTTTACAGAGGTTTCTAAAAGTATATTAAATTATATTACTAATGCTTGTAAGGTTTATTATATTAGGCCTTACATAGCAAATGGTATTTAATGTCTGTTCTTAAACATTTCATATACGAATGTTGCAACATCTTGTATACATTTATCATCATTCATTATATGCATTATTGAATCATTCAAACTAGTTTTAATGTGATGACTTAAAAACTTTTTCCGAAGATTATTGTGGGCGGAGCAATGGAGAAGAACATGCCTTTCATCTTCTACTTCTCCGCTAGTACAATTTTTACAGGTCCTCTTATCCCTGTGGACAAAAGGTTTTTTATGCCTTCCTGTCTATTTCAAGCTTATGTGCACTGAGTCTAAACTGGCTCAGTGAGTGGCTTTTTGTTCATCTGGTAGTACCAGGTATTTCTCAGTATCATAATTTGTCTTAATTTTATAATAAAAATCAGTTTTTGTGTTAGTTTTAACTAAGGCAATTATTTAAGTTCTTAACAGTTCGTCCTTTTTCAATATATTTCCAAGACTGAACATAGATATCCCTCAATCTTTGTTTGAACATCTGTAGAAAAGCGTCTGTATTGAAAGACTGAGAGATAGGTTATTCATACAATCTACCCAGTCCAGTCTCCTCTAAAACATATCTAATTTGATTACTCCATTTACTGCTGACATTTTTCATTTCGTCCAGAGCAGACTGAAGTAGGGGGTTGGCTTGTTTTGCTTTTGATTCGATCCATGTCTTGACCATCCTGTATTTAACATCAAGAAGAATCGGAACGACCAACTTCAGCTAATACAGCAGAGTTTGAAGTTTTATTATGAACATGCAAAAAGTGTTTACAAGGGTTTAACTGCAGCTTTTAAAGCTTGTAACAGTTTGTATGGTTGGATGTAATATGATCGCCCCTAGCTACGAGAACGTAACTAAAAATGCTGAGATATACTGATGTGCTTGTTTTTAGCTACGATTGGATGCCTTCAGTTCCAAGTGGCAAACTCAATTTCTTTATTAATGTATGTACCATCTTAAAAATAAGTTAATTTTATACTATTAGTACTTATTACACATACACAGTCCAATCTACTGAAACAACATTCATTTATCAGCAAATATTGACAATAGGCTAAAGTAAATCAAGCGTTGTTTTCATCAAAATTGATTCGGACGTTCATAATTGTGCCGTATTACTACTGTGCAACTCTGATCAGATGGGTACTTTGATTGGCTATTGCACACGAGGCCCTGCCTTTATGTGTTACAGGCGTAAATTTTAAATGTCGGAAAAAGCAATCTACTGTCGCTTCGATTTAAAAAGAGGGGATTTGTACCCGTTTCAGGTAGGATTATATGCTTAATTGTAGTTGGGTGTGGCAGAAATATTATAAATAACAATAACCAATCGTTTTTTTGATTAAAAATATTGTCAATTTTGTTTCAAATGCCGGGTGCGAATCGCTCCCACATGTGCTACATTGAAGGTAATGACATTAATCTCTTATCTCGAAACACGGAGGGTTGAGAGATTAAGGTTTGTTATTTAGATCGCCCCAGGAATCGCATCCATATAATAGAATGGGTTTGACTAGGATATCAAATAGTTTTAATTTAATGTTCGAAGATACATAAAAATTTGAAAAGGCTTTTAAAATTTAAATGCTTTCAATATAGCCTACATGATTATCGCTGGGTTCACTTGAAATTTAGAAGGCCTACAACATCCCAAAACACAGTAACGATCAAACACGCTACTATGGGGTTAAAGTTCTGGCTCATTAACACTGATTTATTATATTAGGTTATACTACCATTTTCAAACCCTTCCGGTGCCGGTTGTTCGTTGTTTCGAGAAATAACTTTAAGCCAATTAATGAGCTCGATGTTTTATTTATGTCGTAACCCATTCTTATGTATTACTATCTGCGACATAAACAAATATTTATGATAGATATTACTATAACCCTGTATGTATATATTAAATATTTGAATGTTGCTGAAAAGAATATTTGTTCACTGTGATTTCTGCAAAATATAATTGTTTTCTGAACATGCTGTAAGAGAAATAAAGTATTACGGTATGTCGTAAAATAGACCAGCCGTTTTCCATTAGTGTAAAGGTCAAGGTCTATTAAATATAAGGCATGGGAAAGACAAAATTGTGTGAGTAAATTGTGTTTGTGTTTCGAAAGTTGTTGAATTCTAGGCCCTATCAAGTTGATAATGGTTTGTTTACATACACAAACGCCCACAATTAGTTATGAAACAAAGTGCCTACATCACGCAGCCACGAAAGTTCTAAGACAAGTTGTGATCAATAATTGGGACAGTCACTCATGATCAGTCACTGCGTCAGTGAATGTGAACGAAACCGGAAATTTTTTTAAGAATTCAAAGCTTGGTAAATTCTAGATTGATTAATCCAGCTGCTATCAGCGTCTGGGTTGTTCGTTCTAGCTACATTCCTGTTGCATCATTGAATACAACCATAGGTTATTCAATGGCTGTATTCAATGATATTTGCATGTAGTTATAGAATAAAAAACGTTATTACACTTGAAAAATCAAATATTGAATGCACTTCCATGCCACAGATTGGGGGAGAATCATGTTTTGGACGGTATCAGGCGTATTCATTACCAGGCTAATTCATTACCGGTAAAATCGGCGTATTCATGACCAGTATATTATTATAGGGTTGATTGGTCGGTATATAAAGGTGCTAATTAGTACTCATCAGTGCCAATGTCTATGGGTGTTAATTAATCAATTAAGACAAGACAATAGAAGGATTAACAAGGTATTTAATTTCAATAATTTCCGTTTATTACGTCTAGAGTTATGGCCCTTGTTTCACTTTGTTGAACCTTGTGAACGCTCTAATGCCAAAAGTTAACATCTGATCTTTGTGAAATTTATATGCAATATTTAAGTTAGTGAAACGAAGAAGCCTATTGAATTTCAACAATTTCAATTTATTACGTCTAGAGTTATGGCCCTTGTTTCACTTTATTGAACCTTGTGAACGCTCTAACTCCAAAAGTTATCATCTGATCTTTCTAATATTTATATGCATTATTTAAATCAGTGAAATGAAGAAACCTATTGAATTTTAGCAATTTTTGTTTACTTCATCTAGAGTTATGGCCCTTGTTTCACTTTACTGCACCTTGTGAATGCTGTTAACGCCAAAAGTTATCACCCAATCTTTGTGAAATTTATATGCATGATGTAAATTAGTGAAACGAAGAAGTCTATTGAATTTCAGCAATTTCCGTTTATTACGTCTAGAGTTATGGCCCTTGTTTCACTTTATTGAACCTTGTGAACGCTCCAACGCCAAAAGTTATCATACAATCTTTGTGAAATTTATATGCATTATTTAGATTAGTGAAACGAAGAAGCCTATTGAATTTCAGCAATTTCCGTTTATTACGTCAAGAGTTATTCCCCTTATTTCACTTTATTGAACCTTGTGAACGCTCCGACGCCAAAAGTTATCAACCAATCTTTGTGAAATTTATATGCATTATTTAGATTACTGAAACGAAGAAGCCTATTGAATTTCAGCAATTTACAATAATTACTTCTAGAGTTATTGCCCTTGTTTCACTTTGTTAAACCTTGTTAATGCTCGATTTATGAAAGTTATCATCCGATATGTATGAAATTTATATGCATCATTTAAATTTGTGAAACAGGCCTATTGAATTTCAGCAATTTAGTCAATAATTTCTAGAGTTATGGCGATTGTGAACGTTTAAATGACAAAAGGGATCATGTGATCTGTATGAAATTTAAATGCATTATTTAAATTAGTAAAACGAAAAAGCCTGTCAAATTTCAACAATTTCTGTAGATTACTTCCAGAGTTGAGACCCTTGTTTCAATTTGTAGAACCTTGTAAACCTTCAAACGACAAAATTTATAATCTGATCTGCATGGAATTGTCTTGTAAAGGCCCCCAATTACCTACAAAGGAATAAATATGCGACAACCCTTGTCGACCGCTCGGACGATTTAGCTGCGGTGGGCGTATGTTTTGTTGCCTGGCAACCTATCTTTTTTCTTTTGAATTGAAAGTGAGTTTTCCAAATTTGTGTTTACATGTATTCATACACCAGAACTGCCAGCATGATGAAGAGTGAACATAAAAGACAAAAAGACCATAAATTTATGAATATAATTATTATAAGTATTAAGGCAAGGCACAACCTGTAGATTTTTACATGTTTGACATAAATTCCATCCTTCAGAATTAGTTAGTACATAAGCAAGAATCTACATACATTGCAATCTTTTCGATCTTCTGTTTGTGTTTATTACAGGTTTTCTCCTATAGAATTCTAAAATGAGTAATGAAAGTGAAAACCTAAACCCTACAGGTATAAAGAACCAAGAGGATAAATCTGATTCTTCAGATAATTTGCACACAGTCCTGGACAATGTTCACAATGGTGCTTCAAACGTTTCTCAGGACAAAGTTGTCTCATCATTTGCAGCAAGTGAAATGGAATCAAAAATCAATGATGAAAATATAAACACAGGTGGGGGTGATACAGGTGAACAAACTGCAGAGACACAATCAGAAATAAGTTACACATCAAATGTGAGCAATTGGGGCAAACATGGAGGACCGATTGATGGTGGTGGTGACAAATTAAATGGAGACATAAGCAGCAATAATGTAAATGAACACGGTGCCAAGGAAAATGAAGAAGCAGAGTATATAGACATTCTAGGAAATCGGTTACTGCAAAAAAAGGTGAAAAAAATGTAACTAGTCCAACTAGTCAAAAAATTCTTGTTCACAGATTTTTGTTTTTATTTTGTCATCAGATAACATTTTGATAGTATGACAAAATGGATTGATCACAATTACAACTCAGTTCAAATTCCAATGGTCTAGGTGCATATCATCAAATGATATATGAGTGCAAGTCAAAAATAATTTATAAACACTCATACTTGTTTAACTTGCATGTAGAAGAAATGAAAGAAGAGTTTTAATGTTCTACTGTTTTTTTGTCCCATCCGAACGGCAATGCCAGGCCCCCCGTCCTGCACTATTGACAAGCAGGAATCAAGCCAGAAAATCCTGATGAACTTCCTCGGTCAATGCAGGGATTGACCAGAGAACCGCTAGGTTAGCGAGTCAATGCCTTACTCACTAAGCCACGAATGCTCTCCATGTAGAAGAAGGTTCATAAATGTGTATGTATAGGAATAGCTGACAATCCTACAAAAACCTTGCATTATTAGTAAAACTATGTGCACGGTCTGTTGAAAATCTGCATATTTTTATAAACTCATGAAATATGTTTATAATATAATTATTAGGTATTGGTTAAAGGTAAAGGAAAAGATACAAGACCATTAAATGGTGATGTTGTTACTTTAAATATAGAAGGTTATTTAACAGATGGTACAGCAGTAGATAAATATAATTCTTTCTCTTTTTACCTTGGTGAAGGGGATGTTATACAAGGTAAGTCCAACTAAACATGAATAATTATTGTTATATACATACATTGAGTTTAATGTTGATGTTATTAAATATATTTGTTTCAGTATTATCTAACTTCTAAGTTTCGTGGGGGGTTGGATGGCTTAGTGGTTAGCACGTGCGCGCTGTATCATCAAGTCTGTCATTGAGTCAACTGGCGTGGTTTCGAATCCCCGGTTGTACGTGACAAGGAGTAGGGTCGCCTGTCCAACCTCGGGGGTTTTCTCTGGGTCCTCCGGTTTCCTCCCACTGCTAAAGACCCCTACGCGCAAGCGAATTATGGAAATAAAATTGAACCATATGTTAGTCAAGAAATGACCTAGTTTGTGTCGAGTGGACGTTAAACCCCATTTCTCTCTCTCTCTAAGATTCGTTTTCTTCAGATGTAGATGTAGTTCGCTGGGTTTTTTTTATTATTTGTTCCTAATTACATTTGTATTTGATAAGAAACTGTCCACCACCCATATTACAGCGAACAGGAATTAAGTTTAGGTTCATGTGTAACTGTTTGAATAATGGCGTAACTTTTAAATTAGGGCCAACAATTCTCTCAAATTGATGTAAAAAAACTGTGCCTTTTAATAAATTTCTTGTGGTTTATTGTAGCCTGGGATTTGGCTGTATCGCTAATGGAAATAGGAGAAACATGTGAAGTAGTAACAGGCGCTAAATATGCTTATGGTGAAAAAGGCAGGTATGAAGCATTATGTATACTGGTGAAATTGCTTAGATAATTTAAATATTAAAGCTGCCTTTCAACATTTTAGTGATTTTTAATACTTTGCAAACTACAATATTGTAAAACTTCAATATCTAAAAGGAATATTAGTTCAAAGATTTTTCAATTTTGTTCAGTATTTCCAAAGATATGATTAATTAAAAATTATGCGACATTATATAAACATGTCGGTCATGTAGGTAAAATATTTTAATGAGAGATTATGATTATCTACCTTTGATATTTTAGTTGTGTTTCATTAGTTGAATGTTCGCGCATTTTAGAGTATATTAAGCTATGTAAATATCATTATTGTCTAAAAACAATTCAAATGACATGTATGAATTAAATGATTTATTAATTGAAAGTGACAGTTTATAACTTTGTACATACGTTAAACTTTTTAGAGAACCAGATATTCCAGTAAATAGTGAGATTACCTATACGTTGGAATTATTAAAACATGAAGATAAACCAGATTTAGATAAAATATCCAAGCAAGAAAAACTTCATATGGGGTGTGTAAATGTAGATTTTTCATTGTGCATTTACCCAATTTGAGTGCCAAACCGCACTATCATAAATATCCCATTTTTATTTTATGGAATATTAGGAAATAAGTAATTTCGAGCCTGCTTAAAAAGTTAATATATATGTCTATATTCGGAACTTAGTAATATAAATTACGTGCACTACAGCTTGTGTATTGTGTAGTTGTGCTGAGTTACTGTATTTAATGTTCAGTTTTAAAGCATTGTTGGAAAATTGTTCAAATTTCTGGTTTCTGTTTTGCTCATTATGGTAATTAGAAACAAGTCATACTTTATGTGGATAAATTATTTAACACTAATTTTTGTACCATTTGTTCTATTTCTAAGAGAAAAGAAAAGGGAAAGAGGTAATTTTCTTTTTGCAAGACAAGATTATACTGGTGCTATTAATTCTTATACAAAGTAAGTAAAAAATATATTAAATTACAAGTATGTATGACTGGATTTTGTGATATTCCAGGCATTGTCATGCTGTTTTCTGAAATCTTTTACCATTCTGGAACAATAGGCACATTTTGATTGTCAGCCCAAGTTTTATTAATAGCTGTCCTACCCCCTCGGTAGATGGCTGTCTGTTTTTTATACAACCACAATGTTCATATATTGTCATCGCCCATTTTATAATCTACAATTGCTTTACATTATGTGTTGAATGTTCAGCTTATATACATGTTTTTGTTCATGAGACGACACCTATCGATTTTTGAAAATATTTCTGATAATCACTGTCTGAAATATTGCCCATGATCGATTTGAAACATATTGTGGACATTCTAGTTGTCAATGAATGAATTTAAAGATACATTATGTAAGATTTAGATAAAGAGCTAGTCATTCTTGCTATAATAGTTCGAAAATAGATAATGTAAAATGAATAATTTGAAAATTTCATTCAAATAACTCTATTGCGAGCGAAGATATTAGTTTTTTAAGGTTTGACAAGACGTGTGCAATAATTTAAATCAAAATGTGGCTGAACGGTTCTAATCTATTTAATATCGGAGAAATCCGATGCCATGGAGAGTTTATTATGGTCTGGATAAGTTAATTAATGTCTAATTAATAATTTAGAAAACATTTTGCCTAAAGAAAGACCTGCAATAGGCAGATTTAGCTCTTGTATAATTTATGTTTAATGCAGTATTGTGTTATTTCAGAGCTGTGAAAATATTAGATCATCCAGGAAGCAACATGAATTCCGAACCATCTTTACTGCAAGAAATATTAGATAGTAAAATTAAATGTTGTAATAATTTAGCAGCTTGCCAACTAAAGGTGAAAATGCTTTCTGTTATTTAAGTGGCAGTTAAAAGGATGTAACATCTTTGTTGAATTTGGTTATACTCCAATTAAATGTACTAGGTTATGTTTGTATACCAAAAAAGAACCTCACATTAAATTTTAATCCTGTACCATTAGAAATAGTGACCAGTTTGGCCTGACTAATTGACATGGTCACCACTCACCGAGCACTGATGATATCAACTTCAAAAATTCTGCTTTTGCTTTTCGTGATTTTACTGTTATGACTTTCATCATGTCAGATAAAAGGCTGAGATTTGAAGTAAAACTAAAATTTATTTAATGTGTTATTGATATTTGGATTTATGGGTGTCACTATTGTAAACATCAACACAACAAATTCTCATCCATTGCAAATGATTGGTATGTCTATAGATCCTTGTATATTAATGTAAAACCTATCTATTCCAGGTAGAAGCATATGATGCTGTTATACGTTCCTGTCAAATGGTCTTAATTTCACAACCAGACAATGTAAAAGCATTATTTAGACTTGGAAAGGTAAAAAAAAAAATGTTTTGTCAATGTTATTTGTTTTTTGTGATGCTGTTGTAAGCTCTAACTTAAATGGCTAACTGGGGACAAATGTCTACAGGTTTTCTTCTTATAAATACAACAATAGGAAAAGATCCACTATAATAATGGAGTTGAACATCTGATCTAAAGTTTACTTTCTGTTTTAAAATGAAAGATGTGTTAACAATACTTAGACAACAGCATATTTCACCAGCTTAAATTTATTTGAAATTTCCTATAAAAATCACTTGACGTCTCTCACAGATAAAAAAAAAAACCCAAAAAACAAACTTAATTTAATGGTATATACATATTAATAATTATAAAATTTTATCCTAGGCATATTCAGCAAAGGGTAGCACTAATGAAGCTATATCAAATTTTAAAAAGGCCTTAAAAAAAGAGCCAGAATCTAAGGTAAGTGTCTTATTTTATAATATGCTGAAAAGTGAAAACTCACCACTGATTTAACTGAAAGTGCCTTCAAGATATAATGCAGCTGAAATATATTTTTGGGGCAATAACAACCCACAGTGTGTGTCCTCTGGCAGCCTATAAAGGCCTTCTTGTCAGATCATTCTCTACTCCTGTTGCAATGCTGCTTCCAATTGTTGTTTTTTTTGCAGACGATCTCGGAACCATTAAGAAAATATTTGACAAATTATGGTGACTCCTTACATGTCAAACCCACAGATTAGATTTTTATAAATTGTTTTTAAATGGGAACTCAATCGTCCAGCATAGCTGGATACATCTATCACTTATGGATAGAAAATAAAAGCGCTCGTAATTTTTTTTCTTCAGATTATCCATCAAGAGCTGTCAAAACTCACGAAAAAGTTAAAATCAGAAACTGATTCAGAAAAAGAAATGTATAGAAGAATGTTAGGGACGAATAACTCTAAAAACTCTAACAATAAAAAACCCAATTCATGGGTAAGTTTATTATTTTATTACTTATATCATTATTATGAATTAAATTACAGTGGACTCTGTCATTTCCAACATCGTACCGGATCGATACAATATGCTGGATTATACAGCATGACGGAATACTCAATTGTCTCAATATTTAAACTATAAACATACTTATGGAAAACAGCTACTGATTTATTTAGGCGATGTTTCGAAGAGTATTCTCTTAACATTTTCAAGCTAATACAATGTAACAAAATTTGAAGCAACATATATAGACAAAATTACAATAACAAGGTTGAAACCATACATGGCAACAACAAGATCAAAGGCCTATGACACAATGGGGTTATGACAGGGCTTGCCACGAGACGCGGGTAATTACTCGCGCGCACGCTACGCTCGCGTAAAACCAAATTTACGTGAGTGATTAAGTACTCGCGCAAATATAAAAAATAATTTAATCAGAAATAATGGAATATCGTAATAAAAAAAGCCGTAAACAATTTATATGCCTTCATATTGATGCACTATTGCGCACGCGGCGTGTCTTTCCAGTGCCACCTGTTGTTACTAAAAATACTTTGAGACGCGTACTGCCAGGCGGTTTTTAAGCGGATGTCCTTTGCCGTGTCTGGATAATCAAAAATTGAGCGGATGTTGTCGTTTCTATAGCAATTCTTTCGATCCCGCATCTTTTCTGCAAATTGATGGGATTGAAATTGTTGTGCCTGTTCTTTTACCTTTCTAAGCTTTACCCGAATCCCCTCAGCACGCCAACGATGGCAAAGGGAAATGACTACTCACGCACATTATTCTGCGTGAGTAAATACATGTACTCGCCTCACTCGCGCAAGTCTATATTTGCGTGAGTAGTCATCTACTCTCCTCCAATTTGCTTGTGGCAAGCCCTGTATGATATACAAAAACAAGATAAAAGGGACTAATTAACTTGTAAAAGCCACTGAGTAGTGGTGATGTGTACATAATCTAAGTGATAGGGATTATTGGTGTTTACACAATAATATATATTGGAAGTATTATTGTACCTCAAACACCAGGAGTATTATTTGAATACACCTTCGAATACCTAAAATTTAAAATATGATAATCGTTTCTGTACATTCAAAATTTTATTACATAAAATTATTACGTTTTTTACGTTGGATGTGTACAAACCACTCATGCATCATTCTGTTGATGTCTTAAAAGTTTGAGTACGAGTAAAATCGTTTCTTACTGTTTCTTATGTCACGATATTCATATGGATCAAGAGTGACAGGTTAGTTGCTGAAGCGATGAGCATTGAAGTAAGAATGTAATTTGTGTTGTATGGTGCTGCACTAATACAAGGAGAGCGTGCATAGTTACCGTGAGTTGTCATATAAGATGGCTACATGGCAAAGAATTATGGGTATTTCCTGGCTACACGGAACCATCTATTGGATACTTAATGGCTAATTCCTTCAGTGTAGGTCGTGGAACTTTCTCAAAATCTGCTATTGTCAAATCAGTATGGGCACACTTTGCAGGACGATCGCACATTATGAAATATCAAGTGCTCTCTTACGAGAGATTATAAAATTATCAAGGTAATCAACAAAGACCGACACATGTTTTAAGCTCACCGATAATTGATTGGTGATTGCTTGTCGGTTAACACCCACTGATTGAAGGCTGAATTATCCAATGTTAATTCAACGCAAATCATGTGACAGGACCGCTGCTTGATGTCATTATTCAGAATAATAAACCGGGACATGAAAATGATGACGGATTTCACAGAATGCTGTAGTATTCAGAAGTGACAGTCCACTGTAGAAGTTTTTTTTTAGTGGACTATTAAAAATGGTTTGTCCATCGGTCTATCATGTTTTTGGAACAATAATTTTGATTCTAATTAGGCAAGATTGGTAACTTGAGAAAATTCAATCATGAGCATTTTATGCTTTGCCTAAGTTTGATTGCTTGATGCAATGGTAAATGTGCTACTAAATTTATTTATTTGGTATTGAGGCGGGGCTGTGGATAAATCGGCCTCACTATTGGCTTGTTTTTAACCCAAGAACACTAGAATAATTTATGAAAGAAATTTATTTAGCTTCATTATTGAATATTGGTTTAAACTGGGCAGTGTCTTTGACAAATTCAGAGGGGTTGAATGGCCAAATGGTTAGCATGTGCACGCTGTATTATAAGGTCTGTCATTGAGTCAACTGGCGTGGTTGCGGTTGTACGTGGCAAGGAGTAGGGTCGCTGAAGACCCCTACGCGCAAGCGAATTGTTGAAATAAAATTGAACCATGTGTTAGTCCTGAAATGACCTAGTTTGTGTGGTTGGACCTTAAACCCCATTTCTCTCTCTCTCTCTCTTTTGACAAATTTATGTCTCCAAATAGTGTAAACTAACTTCTAAATAAAGCCATAAAAATAGATATGCCGGTTCTCAGATAAAGGAAGTCGCCGTAATAGTTTTTGGTTGAAATCAAGTTAACCTAGACTCATTTGACAAGTACACGTCATAGATAATTGATTTGACAATCATAAATTGCACTGGACAATAGTCATTTGACTTAATGTATATGAATTGCATTAAGTGTACCATAATAGAAGTAAGACTAAAGTATAGAAAAATATTTAATCATTATGACAGTCATTGCTGTTCTGTATTGATAATTACATGGTAATATAAGTGTAGAACCCCGAATTGTGATATTTATGAGAGTGATTAGTCGTCAGGTGATTCTATTACAAAATAAAACCCAAAACATAGAAACCTGCCACATGACATTTTTCTGAATGATTGTCCAAGAACTAGAATCTATTTTGGACTTCAGACCTTAGATTTGTCATTATTCGTGCATTGTCCAAATAAACCTGATCCCTATTATAAATTATAAGAAAATTTACTCATTAATCTATTATACATGTATTAAATCATTTTTTCAGTGGATTAAATGGACTTTGTTGGCTGGTGGATTAGCTGTTGCAGGAGTGTCTATTATTTTAGCAGTGTATAGAAATCATTAATAGTTACTGGATACAAGTTATTAATTGTATTTAATAATTATACCATTGTTGAATTTGATCAATCTGATTAAATCACAGATCCTGCTTCGTTTCGTTTGTTTTGTAGTTCACAGTTTTGTTTTACTTGTCTTTACTACACTAGGATCTGGAAGAGTTGTTATCATTGACGTGTTCTGGATGATGTGAGGGATTAGCCAATGAAACGGTCTGTTACGGCAAACTTTTGGTGTGTGGTGCACGGAACTGTGGGTAATCCACTAGAAACATCAAAGCTGATTAGTTAATCAAATGTCTGATGTCATAGGGTCAAAAGCCACTCAGGTGACCTCTGACGCAACCTCGCAAGACAACTGGTCAGATCTTCATGTAGTGTAGGCCATCGAAAGTATAAAAAAAACGAAACGCAATATAGATCTGTAATTTAATCAGATTGGAAATTGATCAAACTGTAGCATCAATATCTTGTGAAAACAAACTTAAACCCTATTCACTACTGTGAAACTTAAAGATTCATTTTCACTGAAAGTATTAAATTCTTAATTATTTTTTATAATTTACACAAAAAAAAAAATTCATAAAATTGATTGTAGCTTAAAGATTAAGTATGAATTATCAGTATATTTGTAGATTACATATATATTAATATTCATCCTATATATTTGTATGCTTTTTAATTGAAATTTCAGTCAAATACGAAAGGGACCAATGAGTTATACTGATAATTATTTCTAGATATCTTGATGATATTTTTAAAGGTAAAAAGATTGATCTTAATTTTAATATTTGAAGTTAGTCGTAGTTTCAAAACTGGTCTTGCAGAACCTTTCTCTAAGAATAAGGTAGCTTTATTATCAGATAATATGAAATATTAGTTCCCCACTCAAGAAGAGACAATTCTATGATGTTAGAAAGAGATTTAGTTATGTATGTATATAGCAGTGTAAATATAGGAAGAAAGTTGCGTTGTATGTGTGTAGAAATACAAATAAGACAAGCCACCTGTTAATGTATGTTTTTATGTTCAGAAAATGGAATTAAATTTACCCACTGAAAAATTGATGAGTTATCTAATTTAAATGTTGTAGTAGATGTATTTATTGCAGGTTTTTTCCTGTTTTGATCATTGTATTTCGGTTACAAATTCACTCACAGATCTGTTAAATTTCCATAACTACAGCAAGAATAGTGTCTTTAACAATGTCTGTCATCATTCTCCTGGGAGGCTAATTAACCATACATGTAGTTAATATTTGAACATTTACAAAATGTATTGTGCAAAGAAACATGGGGATTTAATACAGTGTAAAGTTCAGTGAGGTGGAATGGAATATCTGGTTTTTTTAAATTTCTTTAGATATGATAATTTATCAAATATACATTTACATATTCTACCATTGCTTGAATAATATTGCTACTATTCATTTTGTTTTCGAATTGTTTTGAAAAAGATCATAATATTTAGATTATAATGTATGTTTTTTCGGGTGAGAAATGCGGACATTGGCAGTGCCATATTATGTTTTTTTATGAATTTACATTGCAATAAACTGTGAAGTTACTGACAAATATGATGATCATCATTAGTATATATTTACTGGGTGTATATTCCTACCTACTGGATAGATAAAAACTAATATATTATGTTTCTAGAGTATAGTTCTTTTATATTATGAAGATATGCCATTTAAAATGGGAGACATCATACTATCATAAGAACCTTGATTGTTACAAATGAAATGAAGACGGGCATACGCCACACAGAGTGCTAAGAGGGAAATTTTGCCCGGGCAGCGGCACTATAGCCTGCTCTTATATCGAATTCCAACTGCCAAGGGATCTTTTACGTGCACTCCAATGTATAAATGAGACCTCAGTTTTTTTGTCCCATCCGAACGACTAGACAGCTGTCCTTGTCAGGCCCTCCGTCCTGCACCACTGACGAGGGGAAACGACATTGGAAAATCCTGATAAACTTTCTCGGCTACTACAGGGATCGAACACGCGACCTCCAGGCTAGCGAGCCAGTGTCTTACCTACTTAGCCACCGTGCCCCCCTTGGTTGTTACACTAAGCAATAATTATTATAAATTATTATTTATTGATTCATTTTGACAGAAATCAAATCAAATCAGTAATTTAATGGATTATGTTTGATCAGAAGATTAAACTACATTGTTTATTTTGAATATGTTTCTGGTGATCTTAAAGATATCAGTATTTATATGTCTTTGATAATAAATTTCAGAATATTTATATTATGTAATGTCTGATGTTTTAAAAACCAGGGTAATCAACAGGGGTGATGTATCATGGGTATCTCTGTGAAGGTGTAGAGCAATTTAAAGACTGTGCTCAGTAGAACAAAATTTAAGAACCATTGATCCTAGCCAGTAATCCTAATAAACTGGATTAATAACCCTGATTTCATAGATCCAAATAAAAAAAATCCCAGTTGAATGTCAATATGGAATTATGGACATATTAAAGACCTAAGTTATCTTGATAGAAATGATAGTGGTCGCTTTGTCAGGCTTCCTAGAAACCAGGTACATGTACCCATACACAAGCCTCAAATACCTGTCAGCCATCAATTGTAGAAACTTCTACTGAAAACCACAAAAATCTAAGTTTGTCAAATTATTAGGTCTGTCACCAAGATGGTGTTGTCACTGTCATGGTTTCGATCCAGTGCTTTTTCATAATAGTTCAAATGATGTGACGACATAGACGTATATATTTCTTGGTCATTTTATTAAGAAACTTACACTGATCAATAATTCTTTGCAGAAATATAAATGGAGGTAGAAATGCTGATGCCCAGCAAAATTTTTTTTACGGGTTTTGCTCATTTAGGGTGATGGCACATGACATAGCCTAATAATGAAAGATAGGTTGCCAGGCAACAAAACGACCACACCGCAACCAGAGAGAGAGAAATTGGGTTAAACGTCCACTCGACACAAACTAGGTCATTTCGGGACTAACACATGGTTCAATTTTATTTCAATAATTTGCTTGCCTATAGGGGTCTTTAGCAGTGGGAGGAAACCGGAGGCCCCAGAGAAAACCCACGAGGTTGGACAGGCGACCTACAATGTACTCCTTGTCACGTACAACCGGAGAATCGAAACCCCGCCAGTTGACTCAATGACAGACCAGATGATACAGCGCAGCGCGCACGTGCTAATCATTCGTCCATCCAACACACCGCAACCAGTTCATAAATGATGTCACATTTTTGGACCAGGAACCCGTCGTTAATTGCTACTCATCTTGTCTTTTTTGGGGCGAAAAAGCTTAAGGCTCTGTCAATTCAAGTCCGATCAACATGAAAAGTGGCATGCTTCTTCATCGATTTCATGAATTAAGATTTTTGAATTTCATCCAACTCAAGCAACTATGTACCGGTAATCATATGTTATTAATAGGCTCAAATCAATTGGATATCTTTACTCTCTAGGCCATCCGCACGATTTTGTAAAGTAATAAAGGTCAATAACTGGCAATTATCCGAAATCATTGAAAATGAATCAGTTCATCTCATGATCATAAACATTGTGTATCAATTTCATGTCAATTGAATGACAACTTTGGCCTCTAGCTTAAATCTAAAGTGTGCAGAGCTGCTGTTTATAAATTAATAGTTTATTAGTAAAAAAATCTTTAATATATATACATGTAATTCAGTATGCAGAATATATACAAATAATGTTTACAACTTGATGGGTCCTTACTCCTTACCGTCCTGTACAGTTTCATTCTATACACAAGGTCAATGCTATGTCGAGTGGAGCTAAGCAAACTGTTTTAAATTTTATACACTGTGGCCAAGTATGTTCAGTTCTTATTATGTCGGTAAATATTATGTCGAGCTGAACAAAATATATATCATCATTAAAGTCCACAAATTGTCGTTACTTAGAGGAGCTAAATCGCTAATATTTTGGGCCTAGAAATTGGCACAAATGGGTCGCAACACATATAATAATGTAATATGAATTTATATAAACTGTTTTACATTCAATCGTTTCCGTTTTACTGTGAATTATCATCAGTTATGTTCGGCGAAATACGCCAGAAGTCTAAACCGAAAGAGTTTCTAGCGTCTGGTTATTCCAGTCAACACCGATAGTATATATTGCGCATGCTCTCCAAATAAGAATATGGCATCACCGATTGACATGACTTGTGGAATATGTCTAGCCTCATTCTTTGAGCCCATCTTTTCCAGGTAAGACCACAACACCAATTTTTTAAATTGCCAAAAAAAATTGTGTTTTCAATGTCGAAGATTTTGGAAGATATTGAGTTACGGACTTAGCTACTTTAAACTAGTCGAATATTAGTCTGAGTAATAATTTATGCAATGATCAGGTAAAATTAATCGTACAATAATTTACAGGTTATCTATTTTCTTTCCTCAAATTTAAACATAGGTTTCTGAACAAACGAACCAAAAGTTTCGTAAATCATATTTGGTGGAGTTGATGTGTCATCTATCAGACTAACATTAAAGTTCTGTACAATCTGCAAAAATATTCCAAATAGCAGAAAATGGATAACATATTGATAACCTAAATGAAATGGAGTTTAAAGTCATACTTTTCCGCTGCAACCAGGCTAATGAAAGACTAGCATAACCCAAGCAGTGTGGTATTTGGAGGAAATATTGCATGGACAGGAGTCAAATTCCAACAGGCAAACCAACATATACACAGACCACAGTTTTTCATACAATCCAAATGACTAGACACTGTTCCCAGCTAGGACCCCCAAATTCACCACTCATAAGGGAAATCACACTGGAAGATCGCTGGGAGCTTTCTCAGCCAACACCGGGATCGCCCCCAGACCTCCTGGTTAGTAAGCAAGCACCTTAGCCACTCAGCCACCTTTCGTTACATGTAAGGGTACATACCAAGCTATACATTACTGCAAGGTGTTGATATAATATTTTGTTTCACAAAGACAAACACATTATTAGATAACATAACGTTGTGTGAGATTTTCTCTGTGCCGATACATATATTCAATGACTTCAATGTAGCACCTACAGTGACCATTGAAAACCATGGAAAAACACAGTCACAACCAAGGTTGCACAATGTAGAATGTTCATTTAAACAAAATAATTACTTTATTTTCCTATAACCATTGTTGTAATTTTATCTACAGGCACACTTCAGAATTCAAACTTACCTTAGCGATTGCCAGATAAATTTCTTGTTCAGCAAATCTCCTACCAATACAGTTTCTAACTCCAACACTGAATGGTATTAAACCTATACTTGGAATAGGATCTGTTCTAGAACCTTTATCATCCCGTAACCATCTTTCTGGTCGATAAACTGTGGGATCTGTTACATATTTTGGATTCATTAATAACCTTCGATTAGCCATTCCAATTAATGTCTGCAAATATAGTAGAGATACCTGTACATTACTTGACTACTGGGAAACATCTCATCCATTTTGCACGGACCAGCAGCACTTCCACTTCCCCGTAAGGGATCCTTAATGTGCACTACCAATTTGACCAGTTTTCATTCTCCATCCAAGCTACTAGAAACACAAGTGGGAATAAGGCTTGACAAGAACAAGTTTTTAGGTAATTTCTGGTACTTTCCTGTAATTAAAGGAGCTAAATCTCTAACTCAATATTTTCTATAAATTTTGCAAATAAAAACTCAAATTAGAATTCAATATTGGTCATTTTCAATCAATATTGAAGCTGTTATCTTGTCTTGAAAATATAGTATCCTAATATCCAATATTTAAGACACAATAATCAGTATATGAGTCGTGTATTCTATGGTTTTGGGTGCCATTTTGTAATGAACAAATAAAAACATATCCTACATAACAATGTGGAAGTAATTAGTAAAGGTTGATTCACAAATGACAAAATAATAATAATAAAAAAAATGTGTGGAATGGACTCACTAGGCGTGAACAACTGCCCTTCAATTTGAACTGTTCAAATATTTCACAGAACACAATTGATTAGAAATTACTATATTTTTTTCAAAAATTGAGAGAGAGAAATGGGGTTTAACGTCCACTTGACACAAACTAGGTCATTTCGGGACTAACATATGGTTTAATTCTATCTCAATAATTCGCTTGCGCGTAGGGGTCTTTAGCAGTGGGAGGACCCGCAGAAAACCCTACTCCTTGTCACGTACAACCAGGGACTCAAAACTCAATGACAGACCTTATGATACAGTGCGTACATGCTAACCATTCGGCCATCCAACCCCCCTCAAAAATTGAAAATAAATCACTTTACATACATTCATATTACATTAATATGTGCTTTTAGAACCATTTTTGTCTCTTTCAAGGTTTAAAAAAAAATAGAGCCATATGTGTGTGTGTGTGCACTCTCTCTCTCTCTCTCTCTCTCTCTCTCTCTCTCTCTCTTTAAATAGGTTTTTGAACTTACCCCTTTTGGTACATGATAACCACTGAGTATAACATCAACTGGTAAAAATCTAGCTGCTCCACCAGATACTGGATAATACATCCTGAAAAAGATAAATACAGTACATATTCATTAAAATTAACAGAATATTTATTTCTTTGTATAGTTAGTGTCCTTCCTAACTGAATCACAGAAACACCCCAGCATCCCACCTGCTAAGAATCCAAATACATTATGGAGGGGGTAATTTTCTTCTACAGGATTATGAACTTTCTAAATTAGCCAGGATTTTGTTTCTTCTGAAGAAAATTATTTAATTATAAGTCCTTGCTTATTTATCCTGGATTTTCAGAATAAAGGTAATACAGATAAAATCTACCTGAAGGATTCCTTTAAACAAGCTGTTAAATACTTCATATCTGGAAGGTTGTCAGCTGTCAAGTCACCATGGCGACCCATGTACTTAAGTATTTCCTGCTGAAGTTTTTCCTGTTTTTCTGGATGGCGAGCTAAACAATACATGAATATCTCCAAATTTTTAGCAGTCTGGAAAGATTAGATACAAAGGCAAGTAAAGAGTTGTATATAAAGTCATCATTAAATTTAGAAAATATTTTCTCCAAAATCCCAAAGTTCTTATATAAAATCTCAAAAACGTTGATATCCATTTAAAGGTTTCGATAACAAGGGCGAAACCAGACGGTCGACAAATTTTTTAAAAGGTGATCAAGGGAAATATGAGTAACTCTGAATGTAATTCTAGGCTCATACACTGTTTATAGATATAAAGGCACCATAATGATAACTATATCATCTTAAGCATCCACAACTTTT